AATAGAAGATGTTCAATGGAAATGTATCGCAGCAGATGACAAGTAAATCAAAAGTAACAAGAAGTGGAGACATGAACCCAAATCACCAACCTTTCGCATCAAAAAGGAGAAGCTTTCTGCTGCAAACATGCGGATGTGCTCCTTCTTGTGTGCCAGCAGGCTGCTATACAAACTGTGGGGTGGAAAGAGGTTTCACATTTAACCATCATATGTGCATCTGATCTCTAGTAACACAAGTAACCTGCGAAGGATGCAGAAGGAAAACCAGAGCACTTCTAGGGTCAAATTACAAAGCATACACCCATTTTCACCCACTTTGCTTCCCAAAACTAGCTCCTTAGGTCGTTTTAAGTCTTAAAAATAGATTCCTGATTATCTCAAATTTCATTAAAAAATAAAAATCACTCGCCCCTCTGACTTTATGTAATGCCTCACCTGTAGATATTGGTCATGTCCTTCACCATAAGCCTCCACAGGTACTTGTAGAGGTAGGAGAGGCAGGTGAAACTCCACTCCAGGAGCTCTGTGTCCTTTGTGTCCAGCAGTGAGGTGATCAGAAGGAAGAAATCTGGGAAGTGGGGGTAAAAGTCGGTCTGCAGGTCTCTGGCCAGCTGCACCACGAGGCTGGAGGAAGAAATTAGGCGCTTAGATTGCAGCCTGATGATTCTATGCAAGCCTACAGCTACAAAAAATAACATAAAATACTTCTTACTCTAGCAGGGGTTGGTAGGCCAGACTGTTTTGGACGGCCAGGTGGGTTTTCAGAGATTCCACGATGGACTTCTGATGGAAAACCAGCATGTTGAATGACTGGCTCTTGTTGGAAACCTCTTTCAGAAACGTGGCTGTGAAGGAAAAGTATTAGCTTTGTGTGCAAATCTCTTCAATAAAATACTAACACACAAGCTCCCCCTGAGTATGGGATACTTCATGTTTCCTTATACATACTGAAATGTTCTGTCAAGTTGAGGTCCCTCCATTTTGTCAGTCCTTCAGAGAAGTATGTTTCTACTTCCTGCAAAGAGAGCAAAACAGTCCTCACCAGTAAGACACAGATGAATGGATGAGAGTGGTGTTCGTAATAAGAAGCGGAACATTTTGATTCCAAACCTCAGCGTAAGATCCAGTTCTGTCAATGCGATGGATCACGTTGATGTTGACGTTGGCGAGTCTTTCAGCAAATGTGAGAAACTTAAAAAAGACAAAAACAAACAAACAAACAAAACAAACCCAGATCACATGACTTTAAACGTGCTGCAGATGGTACACAAATTATTCTAAATGTGACAGAGTCATACCAAACTAGCTTTTCCCCAGCTCTGTCTTTGCTGCTGTACTATTAACACGCCGCAGTGTTTGTGGGCTCTTACCCTGAAGGTGTTCTCAGATTTGTGATACGAAGACTTGGATTTGATCTTCATCTTGGCCTCGTCGCTTGATAAGAAAAGAGCGGATTTCCAGAGATCTGTGTGCGGCTTAAAAGACTCATGAAAACTGCACTTTGTTTTTCTTTCTTTCTTTTAGCTAATGTTACAACTGTTTACACACACGCCGACAACAGGAGGCAGCCATGCTGAGCAAAGAATTATGGGAAGTTTTCCTCTCTCCGCGTGGTTAGACCGAAGACAAGCTAAAAGGCGAGAGAAGTAACCCATAGTTACTTCCGGTTTCGTTTGTGCTCTCTCGTCTCTCTGCTTCTCAAGTTATTTAGGTTCTAAATGCACAAAAAAAGAACAAATAAGGATTTTTTAGACTTTATTAGACATGCCAGAATAGACTTCGACACAAAGAAAACAATAGTAAAGCAGTATTTATCTGAAATAATTTAACTGAAACCTGCCTGAAATCGTTCTACGGAGCGCCACTGGGTCCAAATCATATGACCATATCCCGATTACCTACATTTAACAAGGACAACAGAGTTTGGTGTCCACTAAACTTTCACATTATTGTAAGCGTTATGGGTTATGTTTCATTTAAAGGTTTAATTGACTGGAGAAAAAATATTTATGGTGGATGCAACATTTTTATTTCATAAAGGACATCATCATATCTGCCCATCCATCCAAATAAGACGTGACCAGACTGGTAAACGTGCCACTCAAGCAACTATTCACACTAATAACATCTGAGTCTTTACCAAAAGTGAGAGGCTTGCTGTAAACAGAAAAAAACATACTTTATGGTTTATTATTAATGTATAAATTGTTAGAGTTATATTATTTTTTCATGGTAGTGGCGCTTTTTTTGGAAAGAGTTTAGTTTCTTGAGTGGCTATTTGAAGATGGCTTTAAAAGTTAGTCAGTCCCCAATTTTAAAATGTTCATCTTCAGTCATAAATTAACTTATTTACAGCCTCATACAAAAACACATATTTTCCCCTTTGTGAGGACTATGTTGGGAGTGAATTTATATAAAGGATGATATGTATATAATCATTTATATACTCCCCAAAGATCATTGCATACCTGATGTAGTTCACTGGTTTTTATCATACTTGAGTTACTATGTGGAGATTTGGGTTACCATTTACAAAAGTACACCATGTCATACACAATAGAAATAAGGGTGCTTAAGTATAGTTAACAAGGGTTGTAGCACAAACATTCATTATTTTTAAGGTCACACGTGGTAAAATAAAAAAAAATGTACATTTATTTATGGATAATGTCTATGTATATATTAGACTGTATAATCAAAACAGATATATACAATCAGCTAAATAGGGGTTGGACTTAATAAGCATGTGTTACCTCCTACTGAGTTTCAAACAGGGAATGATCAATATTTCTCATCATTTGAATATAATGTCTTTCTTTTTTTATTTCATATTCATTTATTTATCTTTATTAACATTTATTACATATAGGTCTGAAATAAAGATTCTGATTCTCCAGGTGTTTACAGTCTGTGCGTGTGCAGACATTTCATTACTATAGCATATATTTATAGACAATAACATAAGATATTATTTTCATTTATATCATAGTCTACTCTAGAAAAATGAATATTGCTATATTCCTATTTTTGAAATGATTAATGAATCCCACACAAGGTTTGATAAACTGTAGCCCAGCTGACTCTGGTGCTGCAGCAACAACAAGGATTCAAATCCAGAAAAATCCAGTCCCATAACTTTCAAAATCTAGTCCACATTCTCAAAACTGCCAGTAAAATCACACTTTACACAACTTCTCAAGTCCCTTCCCTCTTTTTATCTGCTTTGCTGAATTCTGAGCCGTGTATCCCTTATCAAAAACTACCACACACTCTTCAGACACGCTCAAAAAGTTACGCTCTGCTAGCTCCGGTTATTGTTACATTGGTGGACAGTAGTGTTTTTAGTATGATTTGAAGAGGGGCTTTTTTCTTATACTGAAACAGCAGCAATGAGGAGCAAGATAAACATAATAAACGTTTGTCTCTATGACACGCTGCAATAGATTTTTAATTAAAAAATCATTTTCTTGTGTTAGTGGCATGATCATTTTTTTAAGTGTGTATTTCTGCAAATTGAAGTATAAAAAGGCGAAAACATTGTCAAAAACACACAGTTTTCTCAAAAAAAACCTCTTGAAACACAAGCATGGGGTTGATAAAAAACACTTTTTCTGTGGTCACGAAGACTTGATATCACAAATATTTGCTGGCCTCCTCCACACCTGCTTCACGCCCTGGAGGACGGGGCTGTGGCCCCCCCACACCCTCTAGCAGATTATTACATGAAGGAACCTTTTAAAAAACAAAAAACAAGCGCGTCCATGCTCACAGGTGTACACACGGGTGATCACACCCACAAACTACACCCTTTTTGGCTCCTACCTCAAAGCACACTGTGTTCTGTTGATCTTATGTGCTGCACAATAATGTTTAACATTTAGTATTTACTGTCATATTCCCATATATCATTGTGATGTTGTTTATTCTATTACTCTTGTTCTCTTCTGCTTGCTTTCTTTTTTCTTTCTCAGCAGGTGATCCAGGTGATTGATATATGCATTTTTTTTTTCTCTGCCCGTTCTGTTGGTTTTTGTTTTTTGCCCTTCTCCCCCGTCCCTCTTCTCAGCTGTTTCTCTTTCCCTCTTTCTTTCTCCCCTTCTTTCCCCCAGTCAAGTCTGTCCCGTATTCAGTAAGTGAAAATAAAATAAACAATAAAAGGTGAATCAAATGGACCATTACGGCAAGGCTGGGATGGTCAGTTTGGTAAAGTAAATCCGTTGGGCATCTTTCTTTGCCTTTAGACAACAATTCTGATGGCAAAAGAGCCAAACGGGACAGGCCAAAAAAATAAATAAATAAATAAAAAAAATAAAAAAGGGCAAGGTTGTCTGGTTCTGTGGCGTATGAGCCAACATAACTCTGTGATGATTAAATGACAACAAATAACCGCAAAGTTGTTTTTATAAATACTTTTAATTACATTATACATGTTTGGACAGCTATTTTCAAGGGGTAACTATCTGCAGTACAGACTTTGATGGAGTGGAAATATTCTCACACTTTCAGTCCAAGCTTCTTCTCTTTTTTTTTACATGCTTGTATTTATTAGCCTCTTTAGTTGACACAGAGACATATGCAGTTTTCACCTTCACTTTTTCCATCCAAACTTCAGCTGAAAACGTGCTGTAATTGGTTTGCCTCAATGCTATGTTGTTCACTTGCACATAGATTTTCCATACGCATGCCTAGTTATTTGTGAATATCTGACCTATAACAAACAGCTGTTGGCTGGCTGCTTAGTTCTGCCTCAGATGAGAGCAACCTCTTTGCCACAGTCGACATACAAATAAATAAACCGTTTATTTATCAGGCTTTTAAACAACATCGAGCTCGTTATACAGTCGTTAGGATGACTTGTGTCATGCATCAGTTTGAAATGTCATCTTGTGACCTTATTATCCCCCGTTGTTGTGATTAAACCTGTATTTGTGACTCTAAAAAAACAAAAAAAACAAAAAAAACAAAAAACAAATATTTGCTGGCCTGTGGATTTTTCATATATTGCAGCTACTGTACTTCCCTGGAACTAACTCTCTCTCTATATCCACCTGTCTCCCTCCCTCCCTGCCTCCCTCACACACACCCACAGCGGTGTGATTTTGCTCTCAGCTCAGTGTTCAGTGAGATGGTGATGTGCCAGGACTTCTACACATGGGGGAGGTTTGAATAACTTTCTGAATAAATCTCAAAGCTTTGTTTCCAACTTTGACTAAAATGGCAGTTACCTCCTTCGCATTGGCGGACTATGTGGTGTTCGCTCTCATGCTGGTGGTGTCCGCTGCTGTGGGGATCTACTACGCCTGGGTGGACAGGAGCCGGAGAAACCCCGGGAACTTTTTAACTGGAGGCCGCAAGCTGACAGCTCTGCCCGTCTCCCTGTCCCTGACCGCCAGCTTCATGTCAGCCATCACAGTGCTGTCCTTTCCAGCTGAGGTAAGGTAAAACGCAGATTCACAAGGGACAAATCCAAAATGTGACGGTTATTGAATGGAAGCAAGGCTGAACTTTCTTTTTTTTTAAATAGCTACAATAATTCATACAATCCCTCTGTAGGTTTACCAATACGGAGCCAATATCGGATTTTACGGTCTCTCCTATTTAATGGCGATGCTGATCACATCTGAGGTCTTCCTCCCCATCTTCTACAAGCTGGAAATCACCAGCACTTTTGAGGTAAGAGTACTTTTTCTTCCCCTTTTTTCAGCGCTGTGCTGTGTGGATCGTCTGATTTCTGTTTTGCAATTCCACCAGACTCTGTTTACACAGGAATGAAATGTCTACATGTGAAAGATAATTTTGAACTGTTATCGAGAAAGGGACAGAGACATTTGATCACCGTTGCACTACTGTGCAAACAAAAGGCCTGTGTTAGGCTTGGTAAAAAACAAAACAAGAATGACACTGAAAGAATAAAGAGCACGTCGTTTTTGTGGACTGAGATAGATAAAATACAATATGGCCAAGTAACTTGGTAAAAGTCAAAGAAAGTCGAAAGTGGTTTGTAAAGAGAGCCCCGGCTACTAAACATTATGGTGTGTGGTTTTCAAGTTTCAGATGTTGCTTTTGTCTCACTTTATGTCATGAACTATGGTGCATGGAGATGAAAAACAGATTATCGATAGATTCAAACCAAAGAGGAGTAAAGGGAGTGATTGGGTTCGACTTTAAGGCGCTGGTTAATTTGTAAACATGAGACGAAAACATTTTATGACTTGATAGAAATGCATCACCTTACTCATACTTTTATCTTGTCTCTCTACTTCTGTCACTATGAAGTATCTGGAGCTGCGTTTTAACAGAGCAACCCGTCTGCTGGGCACACTGCTGTTCATTGTCCAAACAGTGAGTAAGAGGCCTGTCTACACATAATTACAGGGTTTTGACCTGTGTAGGTAAAACCACATATCAGTCACTCGGGGAACTTTTTTTTTCCTGTGACAGATCCTCTACAGTGGAATTGTCATTTATGTTCCAGCTCTTGCTTTAAACCAAGGTATGTTTGCTTGCGGTCCAACACAGTGGTCACATTCATAAAACATTCCTGCACGAGGGCACTTACGCGTACTCGGTTTTATCCAGTTGACTGACCAGTGGTTCATTCCTCAGTGACCGGGATGAATCTGTGGGGTGCGGTCATTTCCACGGGAGTGGTCTGTACATTTTACTGCACACTGGTATGTAACAAAATTTGATTGAATGAATTCTGCGGTCCCCAATTTTTTAATGCATTTTGACAAGAATGATTAAATAATGAGAAAATGGGTTCATTCAAGCTCAGCCCCGATCACCATCGATCAGAGGATCCCAGTGTCATCATGATGATACACTTCTGCACACCTAGGAAACCTCAGAAAGTGTGCACTACTTAAGCTTCCCTAGACTCATGCACATGTGGAAGTTTTTCAACCTTCTTTTAATGCAATGTCTGACTCAATAATTGTAATCAGTATTATATCTGCAGTTATTGGTTCTTGAAGGTCTAAAAGAGTCATACCACCAAATGGAAATATACAGCAGCCCTTTGTGAAATCTGACTTTGGTCTGCATTGTTACAGGGTGGTCTAAAGGCAGTGGTGTGGACAGACGTGTTTCAGGTAGGCTCCTCGGGGAAATAATAACACACCAGGTGGTTGGTGTGGTACTGACTAAATCAGAGCTCACCCGTTATGCCTCATGCTGCTTGTGGTTGGAGAGACAACAATGTACACTGGTGTTTCATAAATAGTAACTGCACACCACATCAGCATGCTGGTGTTTTGCTTCATTCAAAACACCAGCATTTTCTGCTCTTCTTTACAAGTCAAACACTAGTTTTTATCACCGTTTCCATCAACATTCAATAAGCAAACTAAAAGTGGTATTTTTTTCCCTCCAGCTCGGTGTAATGATCGCAGGTTTCCTGTCTGTCATCATCGCATCTGTGATCCTACAAGGTGGAGTCATCAACATCTTTTCAGATTCACAACACGGAGGGAGAATCAACTTCTGGGAGTGAGTATTCACCAAAACATTAAAATGAACGTTCAATTTAGCAGCAGGAAAAGAGTCAACTGTCGGCAGAAGAGGAACAGTAACACTAATTTACAGTGACAGTTTTCATGCTATGGGTTGACTCAGTATATCATCACTAAATCAACAACAATATACATACACAGCAATAAGAACAATTCTTTCCACAAATGCAGCTAAGAACCGTAGCAGTTCTGTGGAAATTTAATGTCTCATACTGTGGAGCATTCCTAGTGTACTGCTAGTGATTTCACTTGTTGTAAACTCCTTTAAAGCACATTTTTGTGAATGGTGCACATTGGAGATTAGCTAACCAGCCTCTTGAATTCAGAAGCAATCAATAAACTCAAATTTCTCCCTTTTTATGTCTCATCAGCTTTGATACAAACCCTCTGAGAAGACACACTTTTTGGACTGTTGCCATTGGAGGGACATTTCTTTGGACCAGTATATATGGGACCAACCAGTCGCAGGTTCAGAGATACATCTCCTGCAAGAGCATTGCTCATGCTAGACTGTGAGTCTTGTTTTATTGCACGATGTATGTATGGTGGTGGTGGTGGTGGTGGGGGCTTCTCAACAAAAAGCTTGCCTTAAAAATGCCAGTTAGCGGTCAGTCATATGTTACACTGCAGAGACTAATATAGAAATTCATCCATATTTAAAAGACGGGGAGGCAGAGCTTTCAGCTTTCAGGCTCCTCTTCTGTGCAACCAGCTTCCAGTGTGGATTCAGGAGACAGGCATCCTCTGTATTTTTAAGATTAGGCTTAAAGCTTTCCTTCTTCATAAAACACAGTCAGGGCTGAATCAGGTAACCCCGAATCCTTCATTCCTATGTTGCAGTAGGTCTAGTGTTTCTTCTTCAGTCACCTTTTGTAGTCACTTTATGTTCATATACCTGTCTGCCTTTAATTATTAGTTATTATTAATCTGGCTCTCCTCCACAGCATGTCTTTATCCTGTCTTCCTCCCCTCACCCAAACCGGTCGCAGCAGATGGCCCCGCCCCTCCCTGAGCCTGGTTCTGCTGGAGGTTTCTTCCTGTTAAAAGGGAGTTTTTCCTTCCCACTGTTGCCAAAGCGCTTGCTCATACGGGGTCATGTGATTGTTGGGTTTTTCTCTGTATGTATTATTGTATATTGTATTTACAGTATAAACTGTTTTGAGGCACCTGTTGTTGTAATTTGGTGCTATATTAAAAAATAATAATAATAATAATAATAATATATATATATATTATATAAATGTTTTTTTTAATATAAATAAATGGATGCAAGTACATTTATTTTCTGTTTTCTTCTTTAGTTCTTTGTTCATCAACCTGTTAGGTCTGTGGTTGATACTGTTGTGTGCAGTGTTTGCGGGAATGTGTCTTTACTCAATCTATAAAAGCTGCGACCCCTGGACATCTGGACTGCTTTCTGCACTTGATCAGGTATGACATAGCTGAGAGTTACACTGTAACAAATTACACTCACGCATGATAGAAAGTTTACCTCATATTACTTCTTATAGTTCTTATATAACTGCCCCAACAAGCATCAAGGCACCTAATTTGAGAAATAAACCAGTAAGAACCCATTTTAAACGATATCTTTAGGCACTCTATTACCAGAAATTTGTGCCAAAAACACATCATTTTCCTAGTTTCTTTAGCTTAATCCCAAAACTAACACAGTTTCTCAGGCAAAAAATAGTATTTTCCAACCAACAAGGTGATTTCCAAAGAGCTACTAGTCAGAAACTTCATCTCAGCATGGTGTGCAGAGTGCTCTTTTGGGTGGAAACAAAAGGCCTGTGTTAGGTGTTAGATGATAAAAAAGTGGTAGGCCCAAGAAACTACAGAAAACTACAGTCGTGGTTTATGGTTTTTTCCCATTTTTTCCCAGTAGCATTTAAAGAAACGAGGAGTGTCTCAAGACTGAGAATTCACTTCATTAAACTGTAATATGAAAATGTCCTAACCAAGGCCCTTATATCAACATTTGATAGTTAGACTCACTATTGTTATGAAAAATGTGTAATGGCACCAGTGCCAAAGTTCACCCTGTGTTAATCTTTGAGACACTATCATCTTTGAATAAACAGTACTTGAAATCATGGGTGTGTCTTATCAGTGATAAAACCTTACAAAAGTAACAAAGTTACAAAGTAACAAAAATTTGAATATTACTAATCAATGGTAAATAGTAGCTACTTAATTACTTAACTGTGTGAATACTGTTGAACTAACAGTTTAATATCATTATTATCAGTAGTTTGTATAAGGTATGACTCTCTGGCCCTCTTGATCCATTAACCCAGTCTCACTGTTCCTCTGTAGTTGATGCCTTATTTGGTGATGGACGTCTTGGGAGACTATCCTGGCCTTCCTGGTCTGTTTGTGGCAGCAGCATTTAGTGGATCTTTAAGGTTATTGAATATTTAAGATAATACTTTCAACAGATTAAGTACACAATGAAAATTTAGTGTGTTTACTGTAGCAGCTTGCAGTATAATTCTGTGATTGCTATCTAAAAGGCAGGTTAGTTGTATCGTGCCTTGTTTTTGACTCGACTGTTCTTGGGTTTCCTACTATTCCGACCCATAGCACAGTCTCTTCTAGCATCAATGCATTGGCTGCAGTGACAGTGGAAGATCTAATCAAACCATATGCCAGCATGTCAGAGAGACAACTGGCCTGGATCTCAAAAGGAACGAGTAAGTAGATAATCACTGTGTTCAGTTTAAGACTGGCATCGCTAAAAAGCAATTATGAAAAATTATTAACAAATGAACGCCCAATATTTTACCATTATTGTTTGCAGGCCTCCTGTATGGAGTTTTATGCATTGGGATGGCTGGGTTGGCCTCACTTCTAGGACCGATCTTCCAGGTACAAATCTGTCAGTGTGTAAACTCCACGGTTTATTTAATCAAGAAAGGAAAACTATTACAGGATCTATGCATTTGTTAATGATAGAATATGCTGTCTGCAGCTTAGCTGGTATGTGCTTTCCTCTAAACAGGCAGTCATCAGTATATTCGGGGTCATTGGAGGTCCTTTACTTGGACTGTTCACTTTGGGGATTCTCTGTCCATTTGCCACGTCAAAAGTAAGTATATCCCTGTTACACCTAATTCCAAAAAAGGCTGTCAATAAACATTCAGATTAAAAAAAATGATTCAGGAAAAAGTTTTAGTCACATTAGACCATAGAGACCCAGAAAATGTGCCATTTCTTAAAAAAATAAGAGCTCATTTTGAACTTGACAGCAGCAACACGTCTCAAAAAAGTTGAATTGAGAGCAACAGAGGCTAAAACCCCCACAGTACTTTATCTACCTTCATACTACATATATCCCTGTTATTTAATAAGGCTTCATCTTTAATCATCCCTTTAAAACGTTTGCATATCCTTTGTATCTTTTTCTATGGAACTGTACACTTTTTCATGTTGCACTCATTAAAATGTTTTTCAGGGAGCTTTGTCAGGTGTTGTGTTGGGGCTGGCTGTGTCTCTCTGGGTGGCCATCGGAGCGCAGATATACCCTCCTCCCCCTGAAATGAGTCGGCCTCTGTCACTGACCACTGAAGGCTGTAACTTTACAATGACGGACAGCTTCAGCTGGACCTCCACTCATGTCCCAACATTGCAGAGCTCCACAACAACAGCCCCAGTACTTATCAATAGCAAGTAAGTGTAGCTAATAGAAAAGATCCATAAAGTAACTTTTTTTTTAATGCCCTGGATGAACATTTATAAAAAATTTTAGCACACTGATGAGTAGACATTAGAAATCTTGATGACAATTATTCTTTTGATGGTATGAGCAAGATTTCACTTCTGGTTTCACGACTCCCATCATCAGGCCTGCGCTGGCAGACTGGTACTCAGTCTCCTACCTTTACTTCAGTCCAATTGGAACTATAATAACTATAAGTGTGGGTCTGATAGTCAGCGTGTTGACAGGTAAATAACATCTTTATTCAGCGCACTATGGTTAACGCTGTCCTCTTAGGAGGTTATTGATGCTTTTTGTGTGTTGTTATTGAACATTTCAGGAGGTCGGAAGCTGAATGTAGAATCCAGGCTCAGGCTGACAAAAGAAGACACAAGTCTTTACTACTTGTTTAAATTGATCAAAGACAGAGTAAGTACTGCTTCAGTAAGCGAATGTCATATATGACAGGTTAACTTACTGAGTTTCTGCCCTGTTTTCCCATTTTTTAGGCCATGAGACGAAAAAGAAAGCTTGATCTGAAAAAGGACAGGAAGAAGACATTTGGCAATCCTAATCCTGCTTTCTGTGATGTTGAGCTGGATTTGCCACAAAGCAGCATTTCCACCTAAGAATGTAGCTGCTTTTTTAAAGTATAAGCTTCTTTGTTTCTCTATGATCTTATACAGGAAATGCAATGTAGAAGAGGAATTGTGGTGGGACTTTTTGCAAATGCAGACTAGCACTTGTTTGAATTTAAATTGTGCAATAGTTATTATGTACTGATCAATCATCAATAAATATGAAGCAATAATTTTAAATGATGCCACAGAAATATATAAAAATCAAAGGTCTATTTATTTAAGTAATAAAGTTTTTAAATCATTTTTCATGTAATCAGATTCCATTAAAGTTAACATATTGTTATGTAATAAAATTACATGTAATTAAATTGATTAGAGTCTGTATTTTTGAATTGCTTCGGAGGCATGAAAAGACAGCTAGGTTCTCAGCCTGGTTCTCTCCAGTGTGATCCCTTGTGTGCCATGGGAGTAAAATAACTATCTTCATAGTCTTGGTGGAAAATGTTACTATTGTGCCAATATGCCATGCTGATATGTTTCAAGCTCTGTCTTCCTGGGCTACAGAAGAGCCCAGTGAAAATTCATCAAATTAACTGCAAAATGCCATATTCCAACCATATTCCACTCAGTAAGCAGATAAATATAGTGTTCTTATATCTTTGAATATGTGTTTGCTATATTTTATATTGATACAACATTTTTATTGGTTTATTTCTGGTTTTGTCAACAGTTTCACACTTTTTCCTTATTAAATCATCCAACTCAACTGTTCCTTGGATTTTGATTAGGAGAGTGTTTAGCTGTCTGTATAGCTGAGTCTACGTTCACGAGGACAACACTTAGTGAGGACAGAACATGCACCGTGCCACGTGGCCCATAGGGCAGAGCCCCATGTCCAATGTGCATGCAGTTCTGCAGAGGCTACCCTGCTTACTTCTTCCCTTCTTCTGAATGAACGTGGCATTTAGGTCTTAAAAGTGAATTAAATGTGTGTAAGTGCATTAAACCTGCATTTTTTTTGTGGTGGCCATTAGTGTGACTGCTTATAAAAAATTATTAAATTCTCACTTCTATTGTAATCTTATTAAAAATATTTTTTAAAGTGGTTGTAGCCTCAGTTTCTAGATTAAGTTCCGCTTAATATGTATATATAAATATGGTAACATTGAGAGTAAGAGTTGATGTCCTGTACAGGGTACCAATCACAGACTTGGGCAACCTTATAGCTGGAAACTTGGCTCTTTAAGGAGCCACGTCTAGACTTGATGCCTCAAAGGATTGAAAAAGTGTCCCAAGAGCCTTTGACTGAAAGTGTTGTTAGACCAGGAGATCCCAGAGGTTATATGAAAAATGCAATTGGCCATATAATTTTGGTCTAAATGGGAGTCACCAAGATGAGGCTCACATCTTACACATCTTTAAACGAGCTGACGGTTCACTCGTTAAGCTGAAAGAAAGATGCTTTAATCACAGGAGTCACACATGTGTCCACTGTACCATCTGGGAACTCTTCTTGTTTACACTCGTAATAACACAAACACTAAATCCTGCTTCTCTGGTGCTGTTTTGTAGCAGTGTGTACACCTGAGACTGTCACCTGTCTGTCTGTCCTGCACTCTCTCTCTGTTTCTTTCTCTCTGATTGTGGAATAAAAGTATGAACATGTGTTTATAAGTTACACTTGTGTTTGAATCCTGCAGCTTATCACACATTTGATTTCCATGTGTGACAACTGCAAGTGTCCAGAGTGAGGACAGACTGAGGGACCCACAGCTGCACATCATCTGTGAGGCTTTGCAGCCCTGATGATCCACCAGGACAAACTCAGCAGTGTGTGAGGAAGAGGAGGAGGAAGAGCCAGCAGCAGCTGACAGATGGAGAGAATAGACAGACTGTTCCCTGTTTGTGAAGGACTGTTAGGAAAGTTCAAAATAACTAATTGTCTGTGCTGAATCAGTCTTGTTAGATAATGTTCAAATGATTTCATCATTCCAGTGTTTTCAGTGTGGGAGAAAGTACTCAGGGCCTTCAAGTTACACACTATGAAAGGCAGCAACAAGTTTGATGTTCAGAAACCTAAAGTCTGTATCAGCAGCAGAATGGAGCTAAAAATAAATGTTTGTTTCAGTTCTATGAAGCTTTGAGTATTTTGGATTAGTAGCACTGCTGTGTTTGTTGCATCATATTGCTGTGATTGTTTATATGCTTTATATATTCTGAGGTAAGTTGATCTATAGTGTTACATCATATTCTATAAGCATGTTATGTGTTTGTAGACTTTCTGCCCAGTTTGACCCATTTAGCAGAAGTCAGCCTGTTTAAGGCTCTGATATCTATTCTGTGTGACTTAAAGCAGTTATGACATGGTCTGATTTTCTCACCCAATAAAGAAATATTCAATATATCAGTCTACTCTTCATTTTATCAGAAACAGTTATCACAGCTCGTACATTTTCTTTTTATACATATATGTAAGCATTGAGCCAAATTTAGTAATGCCAACATACTGAAGGAACATTTGTCTCTTAACCTCCTAGGACCTGGCGTCCACATATGTGGACATCACATCCATCCATCCATTCAACACCCATTCGCTACCGCTTATCCTTTTCAGGGTCGCGGGGGGGTGCTGGAGCCAATCCCAGCTGTCATGGGGCGAGAGGCGGGGTACACCCTGGACAGGTCGCCAGTCTGTCACAGGGCTAACACACAAGGACAGACAACCATTCATACTCAGTGGCAATTTGGATTATCCAATTAACCTATCCCCACAAACTGCATGTCTTTGGACGGTGGGAGGAAGCCGGAGTACCCAGAGGGAACCCACGCAGACACGGGGAGAACATGTAAACCGGCGAGCACTGTGAGGGTCATGTTTTTTGACTTTTCCAGTGCTTTCAACACCATCAGGCCGACCCTCCTGGGTGATAAGTTAGCAGCGATGCAGGTGGATGCTTCTCTGGTGTCCTGGATTGTTGATTACCTGACAGGAAGACCACAATATGTACGTCTCCCACAGTGTGTGTCTGACAAGGTGATTAGCAACACAGGGCACCACAGGGGACTGTCCTCTCCCCTTCCTCTTCACCCTCTACACCACAGACTTCAGTCACTGCACAGAGACCTGCCATCTTCAGAAGTTTTCTGATGACTCTGCGGTGGTTGGATGCATCAGCAGGGATGATGAGACAGAGTACCGGGCTGTGGTCGACTCCTTTGTCACGTGGTGTGAGCAGAATCATCTGCAGCTCAACGTGGCAAAGACCAAGGAACTGATCGTGGACTTCAGGAAGACCAGGAAACACTTGACCCCTGTTTCAATCCAGGGGGTCAGTGTTGACATTGTGGAGGACTATAAATACCTTGGAGTACACATTGACAATAAACTGGACTGGGCTAAAAACACCACAGCACTTTACAGGAAGGGCCAGAGTCGTCTCTATTTTTTGAGGCGACTGAGGTCCTTCAACATCTGCCAGAAAATGCTGAGGATTTTCTATGAGTCTGTTGTGGCCAGTGCGATCCTCTATGCTGTTGCATGCTGGGGAGCAGGCTGAGGGTCGCAGATGCCAACAGACTTAATAAACTGATCCGTAAGGCCAGCAATGTTGTGGGGATGGAGCTGGACTCCCTCAAGGTGGTGTCGGAGAGGCGGATGCTGTCCAAGATAAAGACAATGTTGGATAACACCTCCCACCCACTCCATGACATGCTGGTCAGTCACAGGAGCTCGTTCAGTGAGAGACTGAGATTACCGAAAAGCACCACTGAACGACACAGGAAATCATTCCTGCCTGTGGCCATCTCCCTGTACAACGCATCCACTTAACACACTGTTTGCTGCTACAGCTACACGTTTCTTTTCCAAATATTTATCTATGAGTGACTTATGTATGTATGTATGTATATATATGTATATATTGTACTATTCTTAGTTAGCGTATTGTCTGTCTTGTCTTAATGTTGGTTTAAAATGGAGCACTGTAACAAAAAATAATTTCCCCCAGGGATCAATAAAGTATTCTGATGTAAACTCCACACAGAAAGACCCCGGCCTGATGGTGGAATTGAACTCAGGACCTTCTTGCTGTGCGGCAACAGTGCTAACCACCGTGCCACCGTGCTGCCCCATGTGGACATCACATTTTGGGTTATTTAGACCAAAATACTCAATTTTGCTCTACATGGGCCTGATATCCACGTACGAGGACATTATACTGCCATTGTTCTATCAAATATTTTAAACGGATATCCTCATATGTGGCTCTTATTGTTCTTAAAAACAAAAATAAGGTAAAAAAAAATCTGATAATTCTCTGTTTTTACATTCATCAGGCACCAATATGCCCAGATATCAAAGAGAAATTAAAAATGCATGTCATGGAAGAGTTCGGGTCTTAGGAGGTTAAATATAATACATATACATATACACTGTCAAAGATAATTGTCTTTGAGTGAAGATTTAAGGTGACAGGACATATAAATAACTGCAACTTGAATCTTTACTGAAGCTCAGTATTTGACACAGAGTTCACTCACATGAATTTCACTCACATGTGCTGTACCAGTGTACCTGCACATGTGATGTCACAATAGAAGTGATTTGATTTGAGAGTTCAAACTCACTGCTGTAATAACCTATAATGATTAATATAATAACTATAGTATTGGTCATCTCATATTTACACTGACTTTAGTGAACATGAACAACATTAACTAATTGTTATTTACTAGCTAATCTTATATGTAGTGATGTGACGTTCTGTATCGAGGCTTCCAAGCCTGTGTCGAGTAATTGAGGGGGCGTTTCCGCGATGCGCGTATCGAGCCTTGCTTCATTTATGGGAAGAGCTGAAAATGATGACGTCCGAAGCCTCGCTGCCTGGCTGTACCACGTGACTGGTTCATGAAGTGGTTCGAACTTTGCCGCGAGATATGACAGCGATATAAACCCCTCAGACTTCATTCAAAAATGTGGGTGTTTGATGGAGAGTTGCGGTTAGTGAGAGTTTGGAGACAGTTTGGAGGCCGTTTGGAGGTTTATGAGAGTGAGGAGAGAAAGTCAGGAGAGAATGGAGCCAGCTAAGAAGAGGAGCACAACTACTGTCCACACCCCAACCACACCTCACAGTAAATGATCATTTCCATTTTAAGCATTTCCAAATAATCATTTCCCATACTGCCAGTATAAATATACACAGTATGCTGCCATCACTACAATATACATGTTTTACACACTCCTTGTGTTGTTGACATTTACAGGCTGTGTGCAAAAGGCCACACTCTTCAAATTCATGCCAACTAATATTTTTACGTCCAGTAGGTCTCCTACTAGAGCAAATGAAGCTTCAAGAAGCTTTGCGCTGGG